GGACCTTTTAGACTATTTTTTTACTTTTAAGTTCTTTAAGATTTTATATATTCATAAAGCGACAGCATGAACAGAAGTTAGCACAGCAGTGCCCAGATCTTGTTTTCTAATGCTGTTCCCTGTTAAAAGGAACCTGGTTCTCCTTAGAAAAATGGTTGATTCTGGGTCTGATGCAGGAAAACAACAGTTATTACAGAGTATACTCATGCAATAGTAAAATAGTAAGTAACAGAAAGTAAGGCAGTGCTCAAACACCAACAGAGAAACATCAAAAGAACATAGGAGGCAGCTTGAATTGGTGCCCACTGACTATGTATGGGACGGTGTTGGCCTTAAAATGAATGGTAGTGATTATGGACTGTGTTGAACAGAAAGCAAACATCTGTGAGCCCATGATGATACTCTAAAAGTTTTTTTAACTTGTTATAATTTGTCTTCTTTCTGGAAAAGGAAAAGCTCTTCTCTAGAGAAGAATGCCATCTAAAAAATGTAGGGATAATACTGAATTTAAAAAGCAACCATCAGCATATTCTCTAGCCATCAGGTAAAAGTTTATTGTAGAACAGGATATTTACAGTTTCAAAACGTCATGCCACAGAGTACTTACTACTTGAAGGGGGAAAGATACTTTTACATTAAAGATATCTGGTAGACAGACACCAGCCACAAACAAGAGGTCAGATGTACCATCAATATGGGACAAACTGACATCATGTTTTTTCTGGAGTGTGGATTGCAAGGTTGTAGCACCAGAAGCAGTAGACCCAGTATATGCATTCATCAGACAAAAAATCATGAGAATGAGAAGGCAGTACCTTTTTGCAGTTGAAAGGAGGGGAAAAAAATTCAACTCTACATATATATATTAAATACATACATATATATTAAAATATAATAGAACTTAGTGACTTAATAGTTTTCAGAATTGAAGATGTCTAATTTATCATGAGAAATGTGTTTGTCAAGATTAAAATATAAAGTGTATTACTGTATGGAGATTTCTTATACCATTGCTCTAATGTACTTTTCAGGATTTTTCCAAAGTTTTTTGTTGGTTTTTTTTTTCCATTTTATAAATACTGCTTTTGCTTACTATTTTTAAATACTAAGTATTAGTAGTTTATTACTAAGAAATATGTTTTAAGAAAACTAATTGTAAATTTTTATTTAATCCAGGATATACCAGAAGATATTCTTAAGAATTTAGTAGAAGAGCTTCCACAACCACGAAAAGTACCCAAACGTCTAGATGAATACACACAAGAAGAAATAGAGGCTTTCCCAAGAGTGTGGTCTCCGTAAGTCTTTCTCTTTCCCGTCTTTGTTTTTAGTTTTTTTGTGTGTGTTTTTTAATTACTTTTTAAAATATGTTGTTATTGATTTAAGAGAGAGGTAGGGAGCGGGAGAGAGAGAGAAACATCAATGATGAGAGAATCATCAACCAGCTTCCTCCTGCACGCCCCCTACTGGGGATCTAGCCCAAGACCCAGGCATGTGCCCTGACAGGGAATTGAATCATGACCTTCAGGTTCATGGCTCAACATTCAACCACTGACCCACACTGGCCAGCTAGGGGTTTTCTGTTGTTTTTCTTTTAAAGCTGAGTTTAGTATCCCCTTTTTCCTTAAATGATAAGGCCCTTGAGGTGAAAAGAGTGAAATTTTTTACTTCCTTGGATACTCTTTGTAGCTTCTACCTGCAAATAAACTCTAGATGTAGATAGTTGAACCAAAAGTCTCTGAGTCTTAAGACCTTGCTAGGTAAGTGCAAGGGTGTTCATAGGTGTCTATAATTGTCAGATATTTTGTTTGGGGTGACATTACTTAGATTAATTGTAGCCTCTTGGAATGATAAATGAAGTCATTACTTAAAACAAAGTGATTTTCCGTTTTCCAGATTGCTTCACTAAGCCGAGACTATTATCTAATGAAAAGTCATTAATTCTGGATATTTCTAGATTGTCTTGATGGAAATTGAAAAACAGAACACTTTTTCCTCTCCTCTGTACAGTTCCCTCTGCCTCAGGTCTGGAAAGCTGCTCAGGTTTGACATACTGTCTCATCTAATTGTTCCCAGGTTTCTTTGCCTGGCCTGCCACCGCTCCATGACCTGGCTCCTCCCTATCTCTTCAGCATAAATTCTTCCCACTCCACTGTACTGTTCAAGCAGTAGCCGACTGTTTGAGATGGGCAGTCTTTTTACCCAGTTTAACTCTTCCGTGCCCTTGTTCTGCTGTTCCTTCTGCATGAAATTAGTCCTTCACCTTACTGTCTGGGATAGCGCTCTCCGATGTTTTAGACGTTAGTTCAGATGTCATCTCCTTTAAGAACCTCGCCTGAATATCAGGAGCAGACTGAGGGCCCAGCCATCCTCTGCCTCGCGCCTGCTGTGTAACTGGCGTTACCACTTTTAGCTCTTCAAGAGCAAGGCTTGCGTGTTGTTCACTGTTGCACCCCCAGCACATAGCCCAGTACTTCATGTTCCAGAGCCTCAAATGCTTACAGAACGTGCAGTTTCCAGAGAACCACACATCCTCATTGCTTGACCTACAAAAGACAGCTAGTCTTCAAATAGATACCACCCGCCCTCTGTACTAGAGACCAGATGATCTTTTAGTTCAGGACTATCTAATAGAGCTTTCCACAGTGATGAAAAGGCTCCGTATCAGAGCTGTTTAACGTAGTAGCTCTTGGCCACATGTGTCTCTTGAGTACTTACCCTGAGCTCATATGACTGAGGAACTGAATATTTAATTATGTACAATTTTAATTAATTTAAATTTCAGTAGCCTCATGTGGCTAGTGACTACCTTAATGGACTACGCCATTTTAGCTGTTCGCAGTATTATAAAGTTGTAGTATTAAATATTACTTACATTAGAATTAGAATTAAAATATTTGAGGTACCATGCAATACAATCCATTGAAAGTGGGATTTCTCGTTATTGGTACATTTGCTTTCATAAGAAAAAAAATTTTTCCTCCATTTGGAGAAGGAACTTGCTTAAAATATGCTTTTGTTCCACCCCAAATAGCTAAGCCAAGAATATAATCTTTCTTTCGAATGTAGTAACTGGAATTTATCCAAGATAGATCTAATGGTGAATCTGCAGAGACTTGACTCAAACAGATGTACCTGGATTGCACCATAAATAAATGGACACAAAAATAGCTTGCTTTGGTTTGTGTTTCCCTAGCAATAAAACTTGAAATACGTCTATAATATAAAAATGTACATTTTGTAATTGGAATCATTAGCTTTTGGTTAAATATTAGTTTTTCTATTAGAGACAAAAAGCTTTTGAGCAACAATAACAACTGTCAAACTAAACTTTGAACCCAGTTGACTATTGACAAAATTGCTTTAATCTTAATTAAAAGTTACTATTGTTGGAATTTCATTTAAATTACTTTAAACTACTTATAAAAGTTGTATTCTCTCAGGCCTAACTTCAGCATACATGAGATTTTTTTTTTATGCTAGTTTTTAGTCATTTTTCAAAACAATGGTAGACAAGAAGGAAAATGATTATTATAACTAAAAGCCATTTTCTCATATGAGCAGTATTGCCTTTATACCTCACTCTTTTATCTTTATTGTTGAAAGTATTACAGATTTCCCTTTTCCCCCCCAATGACCCCTTCTACCCAGCACCCCACCCCCAACCCCCACCCC